ACATGCTCCCTAGGTGATTCCTATGAAAGTCAGCGAATGCAGTCCCAGAATTCAGTGCTTCGCTGACACTGACAGCCTGTGGGTGCAATGGACAATAGCTATGCCCAAGCTTGTGTTATCATTGTGGCCTGTTTTGTTTTTAATAAGCCACAAAGTGGTCTTCATCACCAAATTTCCAGGGTCGCTGAACTATCACTGGAATGACTTGTATGCAATAAATATCTCAACCACTCTTCCACCTAAACTGGCTGCTCCCCCTGGTGGTGACTTTTAGATCTCATCTCACCTGAGTCTTTCCCTTGGCACTCAGGCAGTCACAGGTCATAGGCAGTTAGAATCTACCATCAGCATCAACTGAAATACTGATTCTAGACGTTTGCCTCTCTGGTTCTTACCAGCTGCTAACCACCAATGTTGTAAGCTATTCCTGTGCTTCCCAAGGAGTCTTCTGGTTTGGAAGATCACATAGGAAAACTAAAACCATCGAGTCAACCCCCATGAGTGTCACAGTAGAACTCTGTTCCATAGGGTTTTTCAATGGCTAGTTTTTCAAAAGTGGATCACCAGGGCTTTCTTCTGATACACCTCTGGGTGACCTGGAATCTCCAACCTTTAGGTGAGTAGTCAAGCGCGTTAATCTTGACACAACAGAGATTCCAAGAGGCCAGAAAGGGATTTGATTAACCTAGGAGTATCTACAGGCCACAGAGACCATCTCTCAATGGTAAGAACATTCTAGAAAAACATCAGGCTTCTCCCCATTACTCCTGGAGCACAAACTGTTCCAGAGCCCTCCAGATAGCAGAAACTGAGTAGGAGTCCCTGACTATCTGACTTGCTTCCATTTATTTCACTGAGCTATCCCCAGCCCCAATTCCCTTTCTAAAATGAACCAAGAGGAACTTGTTTTAACTCTTAATGAAAGAATATTAGGATGGAACATGACCAGAGAAAATGGGAGTCAGCATTGATGGCTGCTTTCTAAGACCCCAAAGATACTGCTACCTGCAGCTTCAGATTCCCTATTCATGTGACTTAGATGTAAGTCTTTTTCATTCTCTGGGATTCTAAAGTCCCCAGGTCCTCAGCCTTCCATGACCTGTTACAGACTGGGGTCACCCCTGGGAGAGCTTCCTCCTCAATTCCCCAGTTTACCCCACCACACTGATCAGAGCCACCCAAACCTGGGGGAGAGTGTGATATTGCTCCCACCCTCCCAGAGTGAAATGAGGGGGAGAGTAAGTTCAGTGACTTCGGGAGCCATCATTTTCCCAGAGCAGACCTACCATATCCCACTGTTGTTGTTGCTGTGTGCCATGGAGTCAGTTCCAACTCATAACGGCCCTGTACAAGGGTTTTTAAGGCTATGAATCTTTACAGGAGCAGAAAGCCTCATCTTTCTCCTGGGGAACAGCTGGTAGTTTCAAACTGCTGACCTTGTGGTTCGCAGCCCAATTCGTAACCACTACGCTACCAGAGCTCCTTAATAATCACAATAAATAATTATAATGCATTGAATATGAAAGCAAGTTAAGAAGCATTGCTACTATGGTTTTAGTTCATACATATTTAATCCAAACAAAACGTGTTTAAATGTCTCTGAGATCAGTGAATGGATGCAGACAAGTTCTCTCAGTAATAAGGCTTGTCTTTGTCTCATGGGTCAAAAACATCACAATAGAAAGCTTGTAAGTCCATCTTCAGCCTATAATTGATTGGAATACCTTAAAGGGAGCTAGAAGTTGCCCAGTGAAAGAGGTTTCCTGCAGACCCTTTGCATTACATAAGACCATAGGTGAAATGCTGAACCCCATCCAGAATCTTCAGAGGTGGGAAATTTCCATTTGAAAGGATAAGTAAACCAGCCTGGAGCAATTAGAAGAACAGAAGATACTTTGTGAAAGAAAGACTGCCAGAAAAACTCAAAAACAATAACAACAGTCTGATTCACTGCTACAAGAACAAGAAAGCTGTTCACCCAGGAGCTATTCATCCAGGCAAGTGGTAGGGTCCCCTCAGAGCAAACCCCCTTCCAAGACTGAGACTCAAGGGGAATACACAAGCAGGCATGTGGTCGGGCTGATGACCACATTGGTCACCATGAGGGGAAGAGGGGGAAAAGCAGCAGTGAAGTTGGGAGCTAAGTCTGACCACATTCAATAGACTCCTGTGAACCCAGGTGGAGACCTGGTTGACCAGCAGTATGGCAAGACCCGGGAACTCCTGGGCCCAGAGGCAGCGACATAGCCACAGAAGACTAGAGTGGAGAGCAAAGCATCCAGCTGATGTGAAGTGAGGG